TGGCTACATTTCTTTGGGGTCTTTTTACCCTAACTGCCTAGCCAATTCCTACCTCCTATTCTTACCACGCCATCCTCTGAAGGGGTTACCCAAATTGCCATTGGGGAATAGGGACACAGACTGCTCTGGCTTCTTCCATGCTGAACGGGGACTTGGGTTCTTATTTTTAAGTCTTAAGTCTGTACTAAGCTTCATTTTGTGTATGGTATGAGATAAAGGTCCATTTTTATTCTTCTATGTGAATATCTAGTTTTTCCAACAGCATTTAGTAAAGACACTGTACTTTACCAATTTTGTGTTGGTGTCACTCCTTTTAAATACCACTTGGTGACAGATGTATGACTTTGTCTCTGGGCTCTCTCTTCTATTGGTCTGCATGTCTGATTTTATCATACTATTTTGATTACTGTAGCTTTGTGATATATTTTGAAATAGGTGTGACACTTCTAGCTTTTTCTCTTCCTGTTAAGGATTGCTTTGGCTATTGTGGTTTATTTAAGATTTTTTCTGATTTATAATGAATTATATGGTAAGTATAATTCTTCCAATAGTAGAAAACTTATTCCCCTTATAAAAATAATTCTTTTCCATTATATTGGTTATTTTTAAATTTTCTTTTTATTTATTTCACTTTAGTAATTATTCTGCACTTTTCATGTATTGTTCCAGTGTTTGGAGTGTTTGCCTTCCTTCCTTTCTTTCTTTCTTTCTTTCTTTCTTTCTTTCTTTCTTTTATTTTGGCTTTTTAAATTTCATACAATTCCCATGCAAATCCAGACCCCCTCAATCCCCCATCCATGCTTCTCCCTATCCCCCCACTGAGCCCTATGCACTCTGCCATACATGCTGAGTCCTATTCATTCAGGTGTTTATACCTATGTGTCCTTCAGTATAAATGTGTCCACTGGAGTCTAGTCAGCCCATCTAGTGGTCATATGTAAGTCATACTCTCCCTCATCCAGCAGCAATCAGTCTCAAATAGTTCTCAATCTAGTGCTGGCCCACCACCTATTTCTCATCCCCCCGTTGGGTCCTTGTTTCATTGAGCTGACATGGGTCCCATGCTCAACACCACCTCTGTCACAGGCTCACATGAGCAAGCCTCAAGTGGCCTAGAAGCCTCCACCTCCCTGTGTTCATGAACAAACCCTGGCTCTTACAATCTTTCCACCTCCTCTTCCTCAAAGGTCCCTGAGCCATGGGTGGGTAAGGTTCCATATAGGAGTCCCATTCTACACTCTGGGGTCTTTTATTCTCCAAAACTTGGCCAGATGTGGCCTTCTGTGCACATTGCACTCTGACAAGGGAGCCTCACTGGTGAGAATTGAAGGGTTCATTATCTGTCTCTCTACCCCTTATTCAGCTATATTTCATGGGCCTTAGTTGTAGGGATTCGACTGCAGATGTGTCACCTAGTACTGGGCATCTCCCAGATGTATGTTCTCTGTTCCTGATCAGATGTACAACTCTGCAGTAGCCTCCATTTTATGTAAAAAGCAGCTTCTTTGATGAGTGTTGTATGGCATACTTGTTACTCTAAGCAAGGTCTCTTCTATCTGGCACTGCATTCCCTGTCAAACAGCTCAATGTTTGCCATTTAAGGCAATGCAAATGCATGTGATTTTCTACATGACAATGTCTTAAATCCTGAAGACTCTTGTTAACTCCCTCTTCATAGGAAGCACATTGAATCCATTCAAATTCTTCTATAAGGTTGCATATAATTTTTATTTTATTAGCTACTGAATTTATTTATGCATTATATCTTTCCAAAGAAGATTTAAGATGACAAACAAAAGAATGAATGAAGAAAATATATCATTACAAATTCAGTTGCTGAATTCGATTTATTAAATATAGCTCTGAGCTTCCTGGAAACCAAGACTGAAAAGAAAATAGGATGATTTTGTTTAAATCTCCATATCAGTAAAATGAAGCATCATATACACAAAAATTGTTTCTTTGCTCTTTTCCATCTTCGCTGTATTTTTCTAAGCACTTATCTTCTCTTGGCTGCCATAAGCAGAAACAAATGCAGCCCTTAACATATAGTTTTCCAAGAAAAGCTTTTGCGAGTGTGCTGGCCTTTAATAAAAGGCTATTTATTGAATTTTTGTGGAACCAAGAATGCACAATGTTTTACATATATTATCTGTAGTTTTCACAATGGCCTTGAAGAATGATACAAATATTTCCTTTTCACAAGTGAGTAGACTCAGAAATTAAGTACCTTAACTACAGTCACATAATTATTATACATCCAGGTCAATCTGCATCTAAATCTTGTTAACAGTGAGTTCTCAACTAAAGGCATTGTATAATTTCTAAAGGTGCCTCACTGAAAGCTACAGACATGTTGAGTCAGAGAGAGAGTATCTCCGAATGTTTTAGATCTGACATTTTCTTAAAAACCAACACTGGGAACTGTTTTCATCTCCTCCCAGCATCTTGAGGAATCACAGGCACACATGTGAGCTGGGGGTGGTTTTGTTTTGTACACTGCAGCAATTACTCAATTTTTTGGGACACACTCAATACAAACTGGATTTGGATTCACTAGGCTTTGTCAAACACAGGTGCTGTGCACTAAATCAGGTTTGAGTTGGCAGGGTAAATGTTCAATATAGAGGCTTACACCTCTAAAAATATATAGAAAATGCATTAAGAACAATGAAACATTACAGGAGTTCGGTGGCTTTTCTCCCTATTGAGTCAAGCCTTTTCTCTGTTTCCAGCGCCTCATTATCTCTCCCCTGATATGGATGTTAGCTTCCTAACCATCTGCCCTTGCCCCAGGCTCCAGGCCTCACCCTAATCTCTCCATCCTTCCAGCCTCACCCAATGCTGCCCTTGGAAATGATTCTCAGTCACTTTCCTTGTCAATTTCCATTGCTCAAAAGATCAACATACAGTCTTGCAACTGGGCACACCAGACATCGCACTATGTAGTACTAACTTGTTACTCCAGTTGTTTTTCCCTTCCTGTCTTCTCTTCTTTCTTCCCTTCCTGCCTCTAATATTAATCTCTCAGTCTAGACACTCTGACCTCGACATTCCACACTGGGTTTTCATAATAGCCTGGGCATGGCTGCTTTCTCTTCCTAGAAATGCTATCCCTTTCTTCCTCATTTAATTCTTTAGGATCCTGCTTAAGGGGCTGGAGAGATGGCTCAGTGGTTAAGAGCACTTGGTGTTCCTCCAAAGCATCCACAAGGCTGATAACAATGGCTGTAACTCCATTTCTGGGGAATCTGACATCCTCTTCTGGTCTCCATGGATGGCCAAGGAGCACTTATAAATATGCAGGCAAAACACTCATATACACATGATACAAGTAATAAAAATGTTAAACAAATATTTTTTAAAATCCTGCTTAAAAGTTGCCTCCCTAGTAAGGTTTATCTGACTTTTCCAGTCAAAATTAGTTGCTCTTGGGGCTGGAGAGATGGTTCAGAGGTTAAGAGCACTGACTGCTCTTACAGAGGATCTGGGTTTGATTCCCAGCACCCACATGGCAGCTAACAGCCATCCATAACTCCAGTTCCGAGAGATTCGATGACCTCTTCTCCACAGACATTGCATGACATGGGTGCACCTACCTCTATGCAGGCAATACACTCAAACACATAAAATTAAAAATAAAAACTAAAATATTTTAAAATGTTTATTGAGCCTTTGTATATTTCATGCAACAGTTCTTAATCAAATTTAGAACCCCATCTCCATCCATGCCCCCAACTCCCACCAGACCTTGTGTATTCCACCACACCTGTTAAGTTCTATCCAGTCAAGCATTTGTACCCAGATGTCCTTTGGTGCAAATTCATTCACCGGAGTGTAGTCAGCCTCACCCAGCAGTAATCAGTCTCCAACAGTTCCCCTCATACTAGGGCAGACCCGCCACCCATTTCTCTAGTTCCACTCTGGGCCCTTGTCTGATTGAGTTGGCGTAGGTCCTGTGCTTGATGCCATCATTGCCACAAGTTCACATGTGCACGCTTCCAGTGGTCTGAAAACCTCTGCCTCCCTGTGTTCATGAACCAACCCTGGCTCTTACAATCTTTCTACCTCCTCTTCTGCAGTGGTCTCTGAGCTGTGGGTGGATGAGCTTTTAATATAGAAGTCCTATGCGGGGACACACATTATTCTCTAAAACTTGGCCAGTTGTGGCCTTCTGTGTGCATCGAATTCTGTTGTATAAGGAAGCTTCACTGGTGAATGCTGAGGGATGCACTGGTTTTCTCTCTACTCCCTGTTCTGCTGTGTTCCATGAGCCTTAGGAGTAGAGGTTTAACAGTAGATATGTCGCCTAGGCCTAGGCATCTCTCAGACATTCTGTGTTAGTTGCTCTCTCTTCTTGGATCCTGTTATTCTGTATCTAATAAATCATCTATGATTTGCTTTACATTGGTACATTCCAATTGATTCATTTAAAGTAGTAATAATATGTTAATCAAACATATTATATGTATTTTTGAAGTCTACATAGGAAATCCTCATCAAATGTTTATTGGATGAATGTCTCCATTACGGCTGTTGATCGACACCACCAGGAGTCAGCAACTTTAAAACTGAAATCAAGATGACTTTTTTTTTTTTTTCAAATTCTCAGTTATATTTATTTAGTGGGTAGTACAGAAATCATCTCAGCAATCTTAATCTTCATCAGATGTTTGATCTCCTTCCAAAACCTTGGGTCTCTGAGCTAGAACCTGGAGCTAGGGGGAGGGGGGAAATGAAAGAGAAAGTTACTTCTTTATAAGAATACCATTTTATTAGAGACCGAAGACAGCAGACCAGTGACTCATCAACTAAAATCCTAGGTCAGCTGGGAAAGCCAAGATTTCAGCAAACCCCCAGGTGCCTTTATAAGCTCTGTAACACAAAAGGTACAGTGCATTTTCGTATATGGCCAAACTGAGCAAAGTATGTCCTCAGCTCACTCGACGCCGCGGTCCAAGGAATTCTACGGATAAAAGCAACCGACGGAGCCAGCGTCATTCCGCGTCTCACTGCCGAGGCAGCCATGTTGAGAAGGAAAGCAAGATGACTTTTTAAGGCTGGGCATGGTGACTCACCTGCGATCCCAGCACCAGGGAGACTGAGGCAGGACTATCACCTCAAGTTTGAGACTATCCTGGGATGCATAGTGAGTTTCAAAGCCAGGCTGGGTTACATAGAGATTTTCTGCCTCAAAATACCTGAGAGAAAAAAAGGTGACCTCACTATGAGTCAAAGTAGTACAGAAGAAGTGGTAATGAATATTAACTATTATTCATAGAAATAATGCAACAAAAATATATTTTAATATTACCTAAAATATAATGGTGACCCATATTCCCATGTATTACCTTAGAATGAACCATGTTGATTATGACTTCTGTAATAAGGCCTTGTTTTTACTTATTATTAAAATTAGCATTTGAATCATGATTAAAATAGGTATATAAGTGAATAACAGAGGAAATTAAAATCACTTGTGCTCCAACCATCTAGGAAAAATTACTGCTAACATTTTTTTGATAATTTCATACATGAGTACTGTATTTATGTAATTTCCACCATCTCTTTCCCCTATCCAACTCCACCCACATCCCTCTTACATTCCTTCTCGATTTCTTGTCCTCTTCTTTGTTATAAACACACACACACACACGTATATATATGCACTGAGTCCATTTAGTGGTGCTCAGTCCTCTTGTGTATATGTGTTTAGGACTTATCACTGGGAATTGAATAACCTATCAGGGAGCTTGTCCCAGAGTAAACTGATTCCTCCCCCAGCATCCATTGATTGCCTGTAGCTCTTCATCTTAGGTGTGGGGCCCCATGAACTATCCCCTATCCACACTAGGCACCTCAGCAGGTGTTCTTCACTCTCAGGTCTTCTTTAGGCAACTCTGTTGTGGGGATTTCATGGGTGCAGTGTCCCTATCATGTCTACAATACACTACCAAGCAGCAGGCATCCTGGTCCTCTGACTCTCACAGTCTTTCCACGCCGTCTTTCATGATGTTCTCTGAGCCTAAGGTGTAGGGGTTATACTGTACATGTATCAATTGGGGTTAGGCACCACATACTTATTCTCTGAGTGTCAGTTGATTGTGAAACTTTTTAATAGTCTCCATCTGTTGTAAAAAGAAACTGTTTTGGTGAGTGATGAGAGCTATCTGTGAATACAAACATAAGTTAGAACATAGTAAAGAATTACCTTGGTTTAGGAAAGTGACAGTAGTAGATTCTTCTCTAGGGTCTATGACTTCTCCAGCAATGGGTACTTGACTATGTTATAGTACCAGGCATGGATTCCCTCCTAGAGAGTGGGCCTTAAGTTCAGCTAGACAACTATTGATTACCCTCAAGATAAAAGCACTGCTATTGCTCCAATACAGATATTTTGATAGGCTGGTCATTATTGTTGTTCTTGGCTTCACAGCTGGGTAGGATCATTGATTGGTTTTCTCCCTTGGCAGCTTGCATAGCACCTTCTGGTACTGTGAGAGCTAGTCTTCAAGGAGGCGGCTTCCAGATTAATTCCAGCTAAATTTCTCTAAGTCCCGTGTCATGAGTATGTGGTGTCCTCAGCAATAGGGATCTTACCTTCAAGGTCTGGGAGGCAGTCAAGAGCTATGACAATAGCCTATATTATTTTGTGAGTCTCTTGGACTACCCTGACCAACAGCTCAAAGGGAAGTTTCCCTTGCCTGGCACTGTGACTTTTTGTTATATAGCTTTCAGCTATACACACATACTTATATAGATTATGTTTATTTTTAAATAAGCTTATGAAATAATGTTTCCCTATGGTCTTTTTTGACATCCTTAGTATTATTTACCTCTCCTTCCTCTCTCTCTGCCTATATCACCCTCTCCCTTGCCTCCTCAGTTAAAGTACTCCCATTTTCCCATTTCCCCCTTGATAGGACCTGAGTCCTAGTATCCCCCTCTCTTGAGCTCCTTTCCTCTTCCCCCTATAATTCCTTTCCACCTTCCTGGCTTCTGTGCTTACTTCAGGAGATATACTCACATCTAAAGATTTGGAGCTAAGAGTCACAAATGAGAGAGAACATGTGGGCTTTTTTTGGGGGGGGGAGCTCTGAGTTACCTCATTTGGCAAAATGTTTTCCAGTCTCATCAATTTACCTGCAAATTTCATGATTTAGTTTTTCTTTAAGGCTGTATAAAACTCCATTGTGTAAATGTACCACACTTTCATTATCCATTCATTGATTGAGGGACATTTAGGTTATTTCCATTTCCTAGCTATTGTGAAAAGTGCAGCAATAAATATGACTGAGAAAGTATCTCTGTAATAGGATATCAAATCCTTTGGGTATATGCCAAGGAGCAGTATAGCTAGATCACGTGGTTGATATGTTTTCAGCTTTTGGAGAATTCTGCACACTGATTTCCAAAGTGGCTGCACCAATTTGCAATCCCACTAGCTGTAAATGAGGGTTTTCCTTTCCCCACATCCTCACTAGCACTTGCTGTCAATTGTTTTCTTGATCTTAGCCACCCTGACTGTTAACATTTTGATGTATGTTTTCATGAGTGTGCTGGCTAGTTTTAGTGTCAACTTGACACACCTTGGTTGAGGGAGCCTCAATCGGGGAATTGCCTCTACTGGATTGGCCTGTGGCCATGTCTGAAGGGCATCTTCTTGATGAGTGATGTGAGAGGGCCCAGCCCACTGTGGGTGGTGCCACCCCTGGGCAGGTGGGCCTGTGTTGCATAAGAAAGCAGGCTGAGCAGGGGCCAAGGGATCAAGCCAGTAAGCAGCATTCCTCCATGGCCTATGCTCCAGCTCCTGCCTCCAGGTTCCTGTCCTGAGTTCCTACCTTGGGCTACCTGATGACTGTGACCTGGGACAAATAAACCCTTTCCTCCCCAAGTTGGTATTGGTCAGAGTATTTTGTCACAGCAATGGAGAAACAAACCAGGACAGAGATTGGTACCAGAGAGTGGGATATTACTGTGACAGACCTGACCTTGGTGTTTTTGGGAGGACTGTGGAAGTGTTTGGAACTTTGGGCTGGAAAAGCCATTGCATGCTCAGAGTTTGTTGCTGTGGAACTTGGAACAGTTATGCTGAAAGACTTGTAGATGATGGAGGCCTGGCTTATGAAGCTTCAAAGGGAAGCGGAGACTATCAGGGCTGCTCATGAGTTTGGATTGGGAATCTGGGTTCTGGTTGGCTGGGGCTGAAGAATCAGCTGTGATTAAGAAGAGACCAGAACCTGAAGCAAAACCTTTGCTTTACTGGAACAATTGATGCTGGTTAGCTGGGGCTGAAAAATCAGCTGCAAGTAACAAGAGACCAGCATCGCTGTGGTGGAGTCTTCTGGGAGGTATTTCCTCAGGGTCAGCATACAAAGGGAACCTGAGCCTCTATATCAAGATGGAAGCAGGACTTGGTAATGTGTAAGAGTCTCCTGCATGGTTCTGGTGTTGAAAGCGTGAAGGGGTCACAGAGAGCAGCTGAGGCTTAGCACTCTGAGAGGCCAGGAAAGGCCATAGGTGAAAGTGCCACTTCAGTTGCAGTGAAGATCCCAGGATTGAAGGGTCATGGAGAGAATCTGAGGCTTTGCACCCCAAGAGGCAAGAAGAAGCCATTGGTGAATGTGTAGCCTCAGTTTCAGTGGAGACCCCAGCTTTTTGGAAATGCCAGGACCATGGGACGACCACCAAGGATAGCAGTACGTGTGGAATGGAGCTGGCCTGAGTCTGCAAGACAAGCTGAGTGTGCTGTGGATGGCAGAGCCAGAGCAGTGGAGCTACCAGTACCCTTTGGAGCCCAGAAGATTGTGAGTGAATCCCACATGTCCAGCCTCAAGCTACTTTGCTGGACTTTGGTTTTGCTTAGGTGTGCCTGATTTTTCCCTTTGAAATAAGACAATACTTGTTTTGGATTTTACAGAAGCCCACCCACAGTTGAGACTTTTTAAAAGAGGCTATGAACTTTTATGTGTTTGGATTTTTTTTTAAGGACTATGGGGTTTTTAAGGTTGTACTGTCTTGTGTTGTGATATTAATGTTAACAGCATACCTTGGGGACAAGAATAGGAAAGCTTACGGTTTAATAGTGATGTGTTTGTATGTCAAGTTGACAAGGGGTCAATTGTGCTGGCTAGCTTTAGTGTCAACTGGACACACCTGGATTGAGGGAGCCTCAATCGGGGAATTTCCTCTATTGGACTGGCCTGTGACCATGTCTGAAGGGCATCTTCTTGATGAGTGATGTGGGAGGGCCCAGCCCACTGTGGGTGGTGCCACCCCTGGGCAGGTGGGCCTGTGTTGCATAAGAAAGCAGGCTGAGCAGGGGCCAAGGGAGCAAGCCAGTAATCAACGATGCTCCATGGCCTGTGCTCCAGCTCCTGCCTCCAGGTTCCTGCCCTGAGTTCCTACCTTGGGCTCCCAGATGAGCTGTGACCCAGGAGATGTAAGCTGAATAAACCCTTTCCTCCCCACGTTGGTACTGGTCAGAGTATTTTGTCACAGCAATGAAGAACAAACTAGGACAATGAGAAACTGTACCACTTTTTCATTTAACAATATATTTTAAGTATTTTCCATTTAATTAACTTTTAGTCTGAACCATGGCTGTGCACCATTCCTTGTGTGTGTCTACATGTGACAACAAATGGATCTGCTTCCATTCTCAGATATCAAACTTTTCACTAATATTTCAATATATACTAATACTTCTAGAAATATCCTTATAGCTACCTAGTAATTTTTACCAAAAGGCCCTCCTAAAAGATAGTGCTAATTTCCCACTAACTAGCTACAGATGAGAGTATTATTTCTCAGGGATGGAGAGATGGCTCAGCAGCTAAGATCAATGGCTACCCTTGCACAGGACCCAGGTTCAGTTCCCACTACCCACATGGCAGCTAACAACCACTGGTACCTCCAGTTTCAGGTGATCCCAGGCCCTCTTCTGGCTTCTGTGGGCATTTCACATATATGGTGCACTTACATACATGCAGACAAAACAGTCATATATATATGTATATATATATATGACAAGA